AGAACTTTCATTACAACTTTACACTAAATAAAAATATCTATTAAACTAATTCATTAAAAACATGAATATATGTATTATATATATATATTTTTTAAAACACATATCCTACCTAACACAATTCATAGATTCCTTAGAATTAATTGATATTCTCATTTGAGAAGATGCGTCATGGATTCTTGTATTTCTTCCAATGTTTTTCCTTTGGTCTCTGGCACCAGCTTGAAAACAAATAGAACAATTGAAGCACAAATGCTTCCAAATATGAAAAATACTCCTGAAGTCATGTAGCCTTATTAGTAATTTCCCGAAACAAAAAAACCTTCAAATAAATACAAAAATGACAAACACATTTCGTTCCAAAAAAAAGAAAAAGAGTAATGCTATTAACGCCGAAGAATTCAAACGAAATGGAGAGTGGAAACTCCCCATTCAATGGGATACACTCAACTGGATCCCACATTACTCCTAGTTGAGTGTATCTAATGGATATGAAGTCTTCGACTCTCCATTCCGTTCAAAACCTTCTTTAAAATCATTTTCAATACAAAAAATGACCATGCATGTGTGTGTGTGTGTGAGAGAGAGAGAGAGAGAGAGAGAGAGAGAGAGAAGGAGGGAAGGAGTATTCACCTGCTGAACTCCATTCAAATATGAAGTTAAAAGTGTAAGAAACAATCCACGAGCTGAACCAGTTGAGCAAAATCACTAGGCTTCCAGCAGAACCTTTTATGTTTATAGGAAATATCTAAAATTGGCAAAACATTAGAAAATAGTAAGCTATATATATATATATATATACATATATATGACTTTCTTGTTTTGTTAAGTTATGGTTACTAATTCCATAAAAGAAGAGAGAGAGTCAGATCAATATAGTTGACCCACCTCTGACATTATAACCCATGGTGTATTAGCCATGCCCATTGCAACACATGCATCATTACATGTCAAAATTTGCTAAAACAAACAAAAGTATTTTTAAAATTCATTCGAATTAGGATTTCAGTCGGAAAACAAAAACAAGAATTTATATGAACTTCGATGCTAGGAAATATGGCTACAGGTGCATAAACTCTATGCACAATGCAATGGAAGAAGAAGCTAACCCAAATGAAAAACGGAGACTTTGATTAAAATTATTTTCTTTTCATATTTTAATTTTCATTTTGTACATATATCAGAGCAGAGAGGTGAGTATCATTTGATTAAAATAATCTCCCCTGAGGCGTTCTGAAGCAGCTTCACACTCTTTTTGTCGACCAACTTTTTGCCTACAGAAAATTTTCAAGAGATCATTCGACAATCTCATCATACCCTGTTTTCATATCCAAAGTGTAGCAGAAAAGAAATATTATCAGTTTTAACACATGTTATAATTTGGCTCCACAACACAATAAGAAGAGCGGCAATGTCTACGACTACCACTCATTGTGTTACAAATTCTATCCAAAAGCACCATGGAAACGTCATTTTCTCTCATACTCTCACGCACCAACCATCTCGGAGACTCTGGAATGAAGAATAGACCTAAAAGCTGCACTAGACACCGAATAATTCCTGCAAAAGAAATCAAATTGAAGCTTTATCATATAGAAGTAGAACCCTCCTTTGAATTAATAAATACCATATTGTAATGAACTAAACATACCTATTAGAGCCAAAATGACAACAGTTCCAACAAAAAATGTAATTGCTGAACCGAGTGTTATCATGACCTGCAGAGTCTAGTGTTTAGTTTCAAAATGACAAGCTTTTTTACTTTAATCCATATTCACCATAATAAAATTGAGATAACATATAGGCCTATGAAAAAAAAACATATAAATTGCAATTCCAACTTTTTGAAAGCTGAAGTTGTTTTGCTTTACCTGATGCACTGTTGCAAAACCTCCTCTGAGATTTTTTGGTGTTATTTCAGCTATATAGACCGGTACCTGTTTGGCAATGCAACATTTTTATCCATCACATAAGAAAGAAGACCAATCCCACATCCAATCGACAGCCTTCCAAGGTCGAGCAACCAAGCAACCTATCAACAAACATTACACCAATATAACAAATCAAGCGTTGGGGGAAAAAAAGAAAAAAGAAAAAGGCATTTCATAATATTCAAATAGAGGTGATTTCTGATGACTATGCATGCCATTAAGACCCTATAATACTCTAAAACAGTACCTTTTGAGTTAGTTTTAAAGCAAGCAATGACTTCTAAAAGAATGCAGTGGTTCCTAATGAAATATTTCAGACAAATACTATACTTGCATGCAAAAAGAAAGGTCATATAAACTATATAACACAACAAATGTATGCATAAAAGTTTAAATTGAAATCATTTTTCCTGAAATTGTTTCCTAAACATTCTAAGGCTCTATTTGAATACAGAAACACCTCGGGGAGTAATATTGCAAGCCACCCCATAATGCACAATATTTCTGAAATCCCCATTGTCTGCCATCAGGAGTAGCCAAAATTAAGAAGGATAGAAGAGTTGACAACTATTTGCATAAGTCACACAATGGAAAAAGGAAACATACACCTCGTCGACCAATGTGATCTGCTATCTTTCCACTTGTCACTGCACCTAACATTGCTCCAATTGTCAGTATGGAGCCGAAAACCGAGTACTGCACAAATCAGAATTAGGAAAACAGAAATGATAAATTCAAGAGATTGATAAAACAACATAAGAAAACCGGTGAGAAAAATTAAAACAAGGAATCAATCCGTTCCACTCTAACCAGCTTAAATTTCTTAATACATATAACAGCAACAAGTTAACTCTCTATCAATTGTGTCAAGTTCAACAGCTTGAGCTCATACACATAGGATTAATTTATTTTGAAATATAAACGAGTCCAGTTAAATGCCATCAGCAGTTCTTTGAGTTCATTTCTGAATTTCACTTTAGATTAATAGTAACATCGAATGCATATATATTTTTCTGTGTTCATAAACAAACCATTTGAAAAACACTAGAGATGTTATATGTTTTGAAAATTGCAATTACTACTTACCTCTGCCACTTAGAGACCGAGGTCATCCTTGATACCAGACTCAACTGGTGATGAATATTCGATCTGCGATTCAATCATACTCCATTAGACTTAAACTAATACTTGTAGCAGACATAAAGCAGGTCTAATGGAACTTACAGCAGCCCCAAATGCATAAGAACCGCAGACTGCGATGAAGGTGCTAAGGATAACCATAGCTGCGGCAGAGGAGTTCTTTCGCGGTCCATCACCATTGACAAGCAGAGGACTAGCTATTTGCCTGTCTTCAGAGACTGCTCTCTCCATATCTTTAACTTTCTGGGAAAATTGAATAGAGCAAGAAGAAGAAGAAGAAGAAAGAGCTAGTAAGCAACAAAGTCATGTTTCCTCAAGTGCCACATTGCATGAAAAATATTTGAATTATATGCAGACTGAACTTTCTGAACTTAAACTGGTTAATCAAGTGGAATAAAAAAGGAACCATTGACATTTGAAATGTATTAAAATGTTTTTTAAATTAATGGGGTTTAAATCTGTCATTAAGGGTGATTAGAATTTTTTTTTGATAATTCATTATGTTGTGACTCATGACTTCTTACTCATGAAATTAAGGCTGGATCAATTGTATAATAACTTTAAACCATGTTTTTGGCAATATGTATAGATTGGGGCTATTCAAGCTACTCATCAAATTAAGACTGGATGCTGGAAGCTAGGAGGCTTATAACCTGAACAGTCCGAGTCCAAACCAAAAATTTGTAGGGTTCGGACAAATTTTTTCAAAATGAGATGAATTTTGGCAACAAAAAGTTCAAACTTAGCTTTTTTTCATCGAAATTGACCATGAATAGAGGTATTTAGATAATCCAATTCAACATCTAACACAACCACACATATAGTACAGTACAATACAATAATAATAGAGTAATTTTTGTTGATGATATTGATCTAATCTAAAGCCGTTTAACCTACCACAAGGGTTGTAATTTCTAAAGTGGAATGTTGAGGGTTCAAGTCACTTGCGGGCAAATAATGGGTGAGTTTATTATTTGTCAGAAAAAAAATAATAATAAGAAAAAGAAAAGAAAAAAAGAAGCAGCTATTTAACCCTATCGCTGAAGAGAGGGAGAAAGCAAAATGACTGGTAGTATTGGTATTTGGCTGGTAGGTACCAAATTTTGCATTGACTTTCTGGTGAAATAGTACTCCTATTACCTATATATCTCAGGTCTCAATAATCACTGGAACATAATTTTTCAATTGTAGTTTGGCCACCTGTTGTTCAAATCAAACCACACTACTGCTTCTAAGGCTCTCGAACTATGTCAAAACAAATTTATTCATCTTAGCACATCAACACCAAGTCACAATTCTTCTAAACGGGTGCCGTTCATGTACTCCGCGCCAATTCTTCTAAACGGGTGCCGCTCACGTACTCCGCGCCACTCCCATTCTTGTGCTCCGCGTTCTCATTCTGTATGACTTAAATTTGCCATTTTCGCGCTCCCACTCCCGCACTCGCTCCCACACCCACTTTATGTGACTTAGCATCAACCCCCTCTCTCTCTCTCTCTCACACACACACACACACACACACACACACGGCAACAAGCAAGTTGGGATGGCCTGGGAGTTGAATATTGAGAAGGCTTATGATGATGTGAATATTGGCTTCCTCTTCTATATGATGAAGATGCTAAATAATGCCCCAAATAATATATTGAAAATAGAAATTGTAAAAATTGAGTCAGAAATTTATATACAAAATTCCATTTGGGCTTCCAGACTGGAGGGCCTAATAGACAAAATGTTTAGCCCATTTATTAATTTCTGATATAATATCCAATGAAAATCCAATATATATTCCAATAGCTAACCCATGACATAGCAATGGACATAGCACATTCATACCTAAGTCCCACTGTTTATAATTCCAATTCATATGCCCAAATCACTTATTCTGCAATTTGGGGACTTTGGTACATCTCATGTAACAGAGCAGTAATATACAAAAACATGTTTTAAATATGTATACAAATAAAATTATTATACATCAGGGGAAAGAAAGAAAAAAAAGAAAAGAAAAAGAAAGACTAGACTTGATTTTTAGGGCATAACAACAATCATTAAATCTCACTATATTTTGATTGTGAGATGAATTGAGTTTCTTATTTGAGATGTATCATAGATTCTTGTATTTCTTCGAGTGTTCGTCCCTTGGTTTCAGGCACCATCTTGTAAACAAATAGAACAATTAAAGCACAAATGCTCCCAAATATGAAGAATACTCCTGAAATAGTATAGACTTATTAGTAGCCTCGCAAGAATAAGATGTCACAAACAAGCACGTGCACGTATACACACACACACACAGGAGAGAGTCATCACCTGCTGAACTCCATTCAAATAAGAAGTTAAAAGCATAAGAAACAACCCAAGAACTGAACCAGTTGACCCAAGTCACTAGGCTTCCAGCTGAACCTTTTATGTTTATAGGAAATATCTGAAATGAACAAACATCATTCAGTATAGGCTCATGTTTACACCTACTGTCCATTCCATAAAAGAAAAAGAGAGTTACTAGGCTGTATAGATGACCTACCTCTGACATTATAACCCATGGTGTATTACCCATGCCCATTGCAAAACATCCAAAATATATCTGGTTGAAGATTCAAATAATTAAAATTTATATACACAGGCACGTGCACAGACAGACGTTGCAATGTCTCTAACTAATATTTTGACTACAAAAAAAAGAAACACAAGAATTAATGTGAAATGCATGCTAGTGAATCGGGCTAGAGGTGTATAAACTCTTTTAAGTACACAGCCTCACATGAATTGAATGAGAGAAGAGGCGAAACATTAATGCTTATTTCAAATGGAATTATTTTCTGTACATTTCGAGAGTAGTAAGGGTGAATCGTAGTTCAATTAAGATAGATTACCAGTATGCCAATCAACAACAATGTGGAAGTGAACTCCTCCTCCTGTTGATGAAGATCCTGTTCACGGTAAACTACTACATCAGCAAGTAAGAAAGAAGTATAGAGGTATCAGATTTTTTTTTTTTTTTGAAGAACCTTTAGAAGGAATGCCAATCCTGCAATGAAGCTTCCAAAGCATGCCCCAGCTGCAGCTACCTGCGAAGACTACTAGTATTGGCTCATTTATTGACTACATTAAAGAGCAAAAAGCACACTTTCACATTCAAACCATCATAAGGAATCGTCGTCCAAATGTATCCATCAAAAATACACTCGAAGCAGAAGCCGGAATCTGCAAAAGAATATCTACATTAGGAGAAGCGTACAAAATAAGTCATATTTGAATTCCAACTGTAAGATTAAGAGAACCTGAATAATAGCCATTCCTGTAGTTCCAACAGTACCTGAGCTACCTGAACAAGAGATAAATTCTGATATTTAGCTAGCCTTTTCAATTTATTTACTTCCATACTCAGCCAGATAAAATATTAATTACTTTCATAAGTTATTATAAGGCCCCTTAACTTACCAGTAGCTTTGAAAATCGAACTTGCGTAAAATGAAACCCCACTGGTACCACCAAGTTGTACCAGTAACATAAGTCCGACCCCGACCTAGTGCAATTTTTATTTTCGTTAATAGAAAGGTCAGGGAAGTTGTGAAAATGGTAAAATGTTACATTTATCATTAACTTAAAGATTACAGTTAATGCATGAGCATATCTCCAGTCGAACATGTCTAAGAACTTGGATTCAGAGAGACTTTGAACCATTTCCGTGTAATCCTGTAAAACAAGGAGAAAATATTTTGTTGCTTGTGGTTTTTGCTATGCCAAAAAAAAAGAAAAAAAAAAAAAAACATAAAATAGTTTTTTCCTGCTCGAAAGTTACTTTTTGTTAACGAGTAAAGTTGAAACATTACTCTGATCTCAGTCATTTCTTCAGAAATATTGGCATTTTTTCCCCTTAGGCGTCGTAAAGAAGCTTCTAACTGTTTTTCTCGACCAACTTTTGCCTGTAAACGGTTTCACTCATCAAATGAGCATTCTAGAAAAAAATTTCCGCATTAGCTCAAAATAAAAATAACACAATCTATCTAAATTTGTGTTGTAACATTGTTTTCTGTTTTCACATATTAGCATGAGAACAAAAAGAAAAATAAACAGAAAAAGCATTATGGTGAAGAACTGAAGATAATTTTAAATTAGATCTCCCACCAATGACTACATTCACAGCACTTTTGAAGATGAACCATTTAAAACCTAAGAGTATTACATTTGAGAACAAAAAAAAAAACAGATTACCATTTTTCTGACTTCCTACTTTGGACTGAGAATACTCAATGGTGAACTAACCAAATAACAAGTTTAGATAAAATTTTCAATCAAACTCACCAACCATCTTGGAGACTCTGGTATGAAGAATACGCCCACAACTTGTAGCACACAAGGTATAGTTCCTGGAACATTATGAAACGAAATCTGGTATTAGACTACTTTGGACTCATAAAGAGTTGAAGAGTGAAGCAAGTTACCGATGAGAGCCAATGTGCGCCAATTAATGAGGTTCCCGACGAAAAATACTAGTGACAAGCCACAGCACGTCATCAACTGTAGGGTTGCAAATATATATATGCACATAAACAATGAGTTGATTATGTTAACAACCATCTATTCTAAAAGTTTAAGCTATTAGAGAGGGTGTAACTCTAACATTTATATCCTCTAATAATGACGGTGAGGATTGAACTTGAGACGGTTTGGCTTTAATACCATGTTAAAAACCATTTATTCTAAAAATTCGAGCTATTAGAGAGGGTGAACATTTATATCCCCTAATGCATTTTCTCTAATCCAGATCTAGGATGGTAATGATTTACCTGAGTAGCTGCTGTACATCCTCCTCGAATATTCTTGGGTGTGATTTCTGCTGTGTATACAGCGGCCTGTTTGGCAATTGCAAAGTCAAACCATCATTGAACATTAAAGACAAAAATAATATCTCAAATGCAAACTTTGCCTACCACATAACAGAGAAGGCCAATTCCAAACCCTAGCGACAGCCTTCCAAAGTAAAGCAACAGAGCACCCTTCAAAAAGCAGCAAACATTTAGTACTAACCATTCGCCAACAATTAAAAAATAATAAAAAACATATAAATAATAAAAAATAATAAAAAAAAGAAGAAGAAAAAGAAGAAGGAAAGGATTCTGTTAACTTGATTTAGACTGTGACTTCCTTTTTTTCCCTCCCATTTTTCTTCTATTTTCTGTTCTGGTTTTCGAGGAATAAATATGTTCCTGGAGCAACTTCGGTGAAGAACTATTTCTAATGCCAGTAGAATAATCCCATATCTCTAGGGCTTTTTCTTTTTTCTCCAGTCTATGACCCTAGGTGAACATCAAGCCTCAATGGTAAAAGTTCAGAACAAAATCATATATATATAACGTTCGATTACAGTTTTTAATATTCTTCCATTTCATTGGAACTCCTTGAAGTTTATTTCAGGACTCCTCAAATGAAGCATAAATAAATTAAATTATGGTTTTCATAAGAGTATCAAGTATAGAAGACCTTTGCAAAATATATTGCAAGCCATCCCACGAGGAAAAATATATCCAAGAGCCACATAGTCTGCATTGCAAGATCAACCAAACTTGAGAATCATCACAGAGTTGGTAATAATGTTTTGAATATTTTGCACTAGGCCTAGAGGCCACTTGTAGGGCAAGGAAAACACTTACAAATCTCCGGCCAATCAGATCCGCTACTTTGCCACATATTATTGCACCCAACATCCCTCCAATGGTCAATACCGAACCGAAAATTGAGTACTGCACAAAGAGGAAAAGAATGAGCACCAGTGAAGCATAAAAACTAACTTATACCGAATGGAAACCAGTCGACTGCACTGCTTGACTCTGTTATCTTCATAAATGACATAATATCAATCAGGCCATGTAGAAGTATCTAAATTCGGGTAATGGCTGAAATTTTAAATAAATTCACTTCACATGGACACCATAGTTCGGTATGGTTGTCATGGTGTTAAGTTTTCCAGCTGGTTTAACTTGACATATGCAATGTACACCAGCAAATTGTTAGGGTCGGTCACACACACCTTGCTGAGGTTTGCCCAAAACTACAAACATGCTGAGAATGGATAAAATACAATGAAACGCCCTGTTAAAGTTTGTAATCCTATGAATACACGAGTAAATGCTAGGGCGTTCCCCTTAAGAAAACGAAAAAATGGACAAGGCAGCACCCAAATGCTGTAAAAAAGGCAAGGATTCCGCGTTTTCTGGACGAGGGCTGCCCCTTCAAGGTATTAAGCTACCGAAGAGTCCCCATCCTTGGTTCGGATATGGACTTGGAACATAGGAATCTTCACTGGTAAAGGAATGGAGTTAGTAGACACTATGATTAGAAGGAAGATTAATATTTTATATCTACAACTACAAGAAACTAAGTGGGTAGGTTCAAAGGGCAGATAGATTGAAAGACAAAAATTACAGGATATTATACGGAAAGAACAGACGTAGGCCAAATCTCGAGGGAAGTCAGTGCCATCTACTCTAACTCAATCTCCCAAATTCACCATTCTTTCTTAAATTGTATAACTAAATAAAGCCAAGAATTGTTACAATTATTTTCAAATATGATCATGATGACTGCTGAGCAACAAATAACAAAAAAATAATAATAATGAAAAAAAATTAACTTCATATACATGACAATCTTCATGATTGGTATAAAAAAATTTCAAGTGTCTCTCTACAGATTCTCTCTCCTAAAAACCCTAAATATACAGTTACATTCCGGGCATCCCAATTATTTCAATGAAAAACATAGAAAGATTGTATGCACTCACCTGTGCAGTAGAAAGGCCCAGGTCTTCCCTAATACCAGACTCGGCAGAGGACGAATATCCAGACTACAAAGGCAATCACAAAACATCAATTTGTTAGATCCATACCAAACATATAATTTATAATCACTAGCTAATTAAGTCATCCAATTTGAAAGATCCAATTATATGATTATTGATTACATTATGTTTTTTTTTTTTTTAAATTGCTTAATCTAGCTATTCAACCCAAAAATTAGATTGTTCTTATGTTGGTTTGGGAAATCAGCTCCAGCCCATTTTTTATCCTTTTTTTTAATTTTAAAATTGACTTGCGAAAAAAAAACATTGACTCACTTACTTTGTCCGTGAGAAAGTATTATTAAATTACAGTCCAATTCAATCACGTCAAAGATTTGGTCGGCTACAATTTCAATCTTGTTTGTGCACCTTTTTCTAGCAAAATTTATTTGGTATTAGTCGCAATCTACAAAAGTGACATGTGGTATCTATTATTTGAGGAACCTTAACTTGTCTTTATCTGTTAGTCAAGCAGGTATTCCTCCTCTTTAAGTGGCGTGGTATCTATTATTTGAGGAACCTTGACTAGGGAGGGTAATTTCGTCTTTATCTATTAGTCAAGAAAGTATTCTTTCTTTTCTTTGGGTATTCCTCCTCCCAAGATCTATTGATTCAATTGAATTTTGATTTAAATTCGATTCGATAACCCTAAAATGAATTAAAAATTTAATTTGATAACTAATTAATTATTTAAATTCAATAATTAATTAACTAAATAAATTAAATATAAATTATGATCAATTCGATTCGATAACAATTCGATTTAAAATAATATAAAATCTAATTTTATGATATATACTATTTTTTATATTATAAAAAATTCTTATTATTATTTTCTCCTCTCCTTTACTCTCTTTATTTATTTTTATTCCCAAATTTTTATTCTTTAACAATGAGTAAAAAACTAATTTTCTTTTTTTATATTTTATTTATTATTATTTTTATTCTCTTTTGGCATTAATTTTTTTTTTTACAATATATACACTCTCTTATCAGGTCGGATCTTATATTCATTTATTAACAAAATAAATATAAATTAATTATAAAAAATATTCGTTGAATTATCGAATCGGATCAACATTGATTCAATCTCTAAATAAATACACCCCTTACATGTCTATTCTAAACACAAAGAACAATCTAAACACTCAATGACACCGCGATCAAATAGATATGTGCACTTAAACAACCACCACGGCACACGGCAACGACCAGGTTTAAATGTGTATATGTATAAAAAAACAAAAAACATTCCATCAGATTCTTTAATGAAAATCAAAATGATAAAAGTAAGATATTTGTAAATGTGTGTGGTGTATTAAAAATGCTTTTGACATTTTCCAATCCCAAAAAAGATTTTTAGCCACACACTCCTCTCTCAGACGCGAGTGAAAACCGAGGACAAAAATTAAATCCATTATAACTGCAAAAATAATTTGATAATTCAAGAAATTAAAATACATATTGTATTAAGAGAAATGCTTTTTAAAAGAGTTCCCTAAAGTAATAATTTATTTTTTTTATTTTTATTTTTTTATGTTCAACAACTTGATAAAGACAATTTTTTTGACATATATAAAAAGTAAATTTTTCTATTCATTGAATAAATGTGAAGAGCTCCTTAGGTGGTATCTTCAGACATGCATGTACAGTACAATTTTTCAATCTGGTTCTAAGCAGAGCATATATATATATATATATATATATATATATATATGTATGTATGTATATGTAATCAACAACCAAAAGTTTTATACGTATGAACGTTATACTTACAGCACAGCCATAAGCGAATAAACCACAAGCATTAACAAAATTGCTGAAGACAACAACAGCTGTGAATGGGGATGAAGCAGAAGAGTCGACCCTGTTGTTAGTGTTTGCATGACCCCGTTCTTCAACAAGCAGTGACCTTGTTGCTTCTTCTTCCATTCTCTCTCTCTCTCTCTCTATCTAAAAGTGCTATATATCAATGTTTCTTGAACTTTCTTCAACACATGAAAAAGAGATATATATATATCTATTGAGAAGATGGTTGGGGAGTGAGAGAGTCTGAGAGTTGTTTGTTTGTGTGTGTAGACTGTAGAGTGTGTGCGCGTTCAGTGATTGACGTCAGAGAGCAAGTAGAGAATGGTAGTTGTTTAATCTTGCCACTTCATTACAAAACGTTATCTTTCTTGCGCTTAATGATGTCAATTTCAACTGTGGATGGGTCCCGCCTTGTTCAGCTATCATCCTAATTTAGGGTAGGGTTTGCTTGTAATTGTGCACCTCTTCTGAAATAGTTGGAGGGAGTTTATTTTACTTCTATCTTAGGTAGAGTTGAAAATCAACCAAACCTATAACATGTCTAGATTAATAATAAGTAATATTTTATTTGCTATAATTTTCTTTTAATTCATATTTTATTATTATAATTGTTAAATGTTTGATCATACTTAAATTTTTCTATACAAAACTTATTTTAAATTTATTCCAAGTTACTTTTAAATTTTTTTTATATATACTAGGGTGTCACACTCAAAGCAAGCTATTAAGCCAACTAACAAATTAAAAGTGCTTAGGCAAGAAATTCACTAAAGTGATCATATCAAATATCTGTTCGCCTTCCCAACTCCAACACGAGGTGTGGTATGGAGAGTTTTGAGAAAAGATTTTTATTTGTAACACTGATTTAGAAAAGTGGTCGTCCATTTCGTACTCTGTTGAAAATTTTCTAATTTATATCATTATGTACTTTTCTCGTAGGAAGAGTTCAAAACCAACCAAAATTATGACATGTCTCAATTAATAATAAATAGTATTTTATTGGCTAAAATTTTCTTTTAATTCATTTTTTTTTATTATAATTGTTAAATATTTGATCATACTTAAATTTTTTTATACAAAAAGTATTTAAAATTTATTCCGAGTTATTTTTTCCAAAAAAAATTATATATACTAAGGTGTCACAATCCAAACAAGCTATTAAACCAACTAATAAAGTACAAGCGCTTAGACAAAAAAAAAAAGTTAAAGAGATAATATCAAATATCTACTAGTCTCCCCAACTCCCATACGAGACGGTATAGGGAGAGCTTTGAAAAAAGATTTTTTTTTATAACACCGATTTAGAAAAGTAGTCATTCATTGCGTATTCCGCTGAAAATTTCCTAATTTATATCATTATGTATATATCATTATGTATCAGTATTACATGAGTTATAGTACCATCGATAGGCATTAAAATAAAAGAATATTCCAACGGTGGGATTTAAAACAATTTCCGACATGTCACATATATTATATAACAAGTGGAAGTTGTCATTGAGATGTCACTGTTTGGCTTATGTTTTCTATATGAACAAGCTAGCTATATTATTATTACTATTTTAGAGGGACAAACGTTGTATCATGAAGTCATCAGAATCGAGATCCACTTCATTTGATGGTCGCTATTGGTCCATATTGGAATGAAAATTAATTTGGAATTGAACCAATCGGTCTACAACAGCTATTTGAGTCTTTTTCTTGACACAGAATGTGAAAGTTCTCATAAACATCAACCTGAATGAGACGTCAAGAGATACATGACCCTTCAAAAAACAAAAAAAAAAAAAAAAGAGACCTCACATTATCAATAATGCTATCCCCCATTCCACTCTAGACTTTTTGGCTCACTTTGTCTACCACTATATCTTACAAAAATATTCTCATTGTGATTTTTCTTTTTATCTTTTGGGATTTCTTTTCCATAGTTAAAAAGCGTTTTTATTACATTAAAATAATAATAATAATAATAATAATAATAATAATAATAATAATTCTTTCAATTGTTAAAAATTTCTTTAAAAAACGCATTTATTTGATGACAAAAATTGTAACTCTTAGAATTGAGTTTTAAGTAGAAGTAGTGTAATTGAACTATTTTATAACTAGTAATCATGTTATGTTAACTAGCATTTATGCCTATTGAATGGATCATACTAATATTATTATTAGTGTATGAGTAATATAGCAAATTAGTTATAAAAGTATTTTAACCAACATTGTTACCAAACAAATTTAAAAGTGCATTAAATATAAAATGTGATTTATCTATACAATGCATCACCTAACACATAATATGTTAGTTTTTTTTATTGACAACTGTTTTGTGACAGCTCTATTACCAAAGTATTGACTCGGGAGGGGATGAGTAGAGTCTTTCGCAAGCAATGAAAAATATTCGAAATTAAAAGATAGAGCAAGATTATGTGAATATCAATAAAAATTGTGCAATGAGCAAAATGTGAATATAATCAAAGTAAGCACAATTTTTTTTTTTTTTTTTTTTTTTTCCCTAGTTGGTACTCACACACATTTGTCTCTTCTAAGACTTGAACCCTTGACTTCCCTTTGAGAAATAAAAAGTTGATACCGTTAGGCCACTGACCTGTTAGTAAGTAAGCACAATTTAAATGAGATGAGGGAAGAGAGAATCAAACACTATTGACTCGGGATTTAGTGAGATTATGAACTCCTACTCCTTGGCTCAAGATCCCTCTTGCAACTTTTCCAAATCCACTATGGTTTCTCTTTTAAGGTGAAGAGCAAACCCTATACAAGAAGCTAACTTGCCTGTCCTTCCTCTTACTAAGATAACCACATTCTCTAAGACTTCCTTTTGGGTCTTATCAACCCTTACAATAAATTTGTAAGAAGAATGTAGTACGATGAATATCTTCTCACAAAATAGATTTTTCAAATTGTTGCTCACAAGACTAGAGTATTAATGAATCACAAGTTAAATCTCAAGTCTAATTAATGAATGAGTGAGAGGGAATAAGAGTGTTTTGAATGCTCAAATATCTCGCTTATATCTCATAAATATTTTTCACACTTATCTCTCCTCATTCATAAATGCCCTAGCATATAAAGAATTCTGACTAAGAAGAGCTGTTAGAATTAGTTGGGGAGCATTAAGTGCAAAACTAGTTGTTTGAGTTTAAATTTACCACAAACTAGTCGCCTAGTTGAGAGTACAAGTCGTCTGGTAGCTAAACCCATTTACTGAATCATTGCTCCTTTTAATTCTCAACTAACTAGAGTCACCAATAACCTCAAATTATTCAACTAGTCACCTAGTTGACCTTTGTCAATGAGAAATAGACCTTTTAATTGTCTCTAAGGCCTTGAAATTGTTTTAGGTCTTTAAATGTGTTTGAATGAAGTTCATGACATATTTTTAAGTTGTATAAGTATCAACTATGAAATTTTAATGCATATAACATGATCATATAATGTGAGTTCTAATGAAAGATTCAAAATTATTTTGACATTGAATCATAAACACTCACCAACCTATCTATCTCATTTTTCATGATGTTGCGTTGATCATTGATCTTTAAAGTTCATTCTTGCTCATTAAGTTGTATTCTTGAAAATTGAGTTGTTAGTCATCTTTGAATGCTTCGATCATTTGATATCTTCATGTGTATTGGAATGATTGGAGCGTGTCTTAGCTCATCTTTGGTTCATTGAGGGCTATATTGAAAATGTAATCATTTAGTACAGCACTCAATGTAGACATTAGTGCTTAAACACCACTAATAATTTTTAATGATTAAAATTATCCGATTGCCCGTAAGTCAAAAATTTTGGGTTAACAAGCTCTATTGCTAAAAGAGATTTTATCATTCTAATAGCAATTCCAAATAGGCTCGTACTATTTAAAATAAAAAAGCAAGTTGGAATAAGTTAATCTAAAGCAAAAGTGATATGTGAAACTCATATTAATGAACTTATTAATCATTTTTCTTTCTTATTATTTTGTTGGCTTACTGTTTGATAATTCAATTCCGTACCAATTTAATTCTGTATTGATTTAATTAATGTTTGTTTAGTTAAGTGAGTTTGTTTGGAATTAAACCCCCTTTTATTTGGCACAACGAAAGAAAGACATAAACAAATGGACATACTAACACAATATTTTGTATTGTTTGACCGAATTCACTTACATCGACAAAGAAATTAATAATAGAATATACAACTGTAAAGGATGGTTACAATGAGACTTTAAACACCTAACTATGTACAACACACTCTGCTCAAAGTATAATGTTGGATACTCAAGCCTTTTCACGTCTACTACTTATCACCATCAGTGTTCTATCATTTCACTTGTCATCTCAACCCCCACACACTCACTAATTTTTATAAAATTGCATCTCTCTACCCTTGGTGCCTCTTTACACCCACCCGTTGGGAGCTGCGCAACGGAAGAAACATGAATAATTCGTAATATAACACCAATAACGTGCACCAGACAAGTGCAACCGGTCGGACTCAACGAAGTGTTTATGATAGGAGTAAATGCGACCGGTCAGACTTATAGAAGTGTTTACTACAGGAACAAGTTCGATTGATCCTACTTAAGTACGACCGGTCGGACTTCATCAGAATGAAGTCGTAACAACATGAAACACCATGGAAGATCCAAACAAGCAATAAAATAATAAAACAAATGCACAACACAAGATTTACATGGTTCACCCAAACTCTGGGCTTTGTCCATGGATGAAGGGATTCTACTATAATGACAAAGAGACGTTACAATTTATTAAGAATTACTAACACTGGAACAATATGTACACTCACTCTTACTTAGAATTTTTCATGTGTAACTAGCTACCAGGGTGGTAGTCGAGAAACTCGAGCCTTGCACCGTAAACTATGAGACTCCCTTTCATCTTCAGTGTCCACCCTATCAAACCTAACTCTCTCTACCCATCTAATTCACTCACAACTCCCTAATGAGCTGCTATGATTCATGTCCTCTAGTCTCAACAATACCGTAGAAATCTATTTATTGTGTCTCACACCCAATTCCTTAGTGGATAAAGATTATTATTTCTTAGCAATCATTAGCCAAGACTTTCCTTACAAGAAATTACCATAATAAAATCATTCTAAAAGAAAAATCAATTATATATAATCGAAATATGAGCCATAATTCCTAACACCAACCGCCCTCTTTTCACCCACTCCATTCTTTTTTCTTCTCTACCTTCTCTACTTAACTCCACATTTAGTTATAGAGTTTCAAACCCTAGCTGATGAATAAGTAATAAAAATCCTTATTGGGCAAGAAAA